AAAACCAGGGGTCAGGAGCAATGATTGATCAGAAAGTGTGTAGCTTTACATACATGTACATTTGCTATTACCATTATCTAGCCAACATCCAGTGCTTTTACTATATTTTAACATCAATCCGACCTTTTAAATACGCAATGTATCTTAATGACACTTCATAGAGAGTCAATCGTAAAGTAATTAAATGCTATAGTTATCATTTTCTATGGAACTGAACAATTCTCTATTCTTGAAATATTTTGCTTGAGTACACGTAAGTTTACCTATTCGATAGATTCATAGAGGTTAGCTTCACATATTTGTTTTATTAATTTCTGAGAATGTAATGAAAATAAAGGCCTATGGTATGGAAATTATCACCCTAACATTGATAGAACTTGGATTTACAGATGTTTTACCAACTATAAGACCATTGTTTAAAATGCACTTCTTTTAAATACATATTACGCTGTTTACGTGATCGATACAGAGCATCGACAGGGGATATTTACTCCTCCAAGGCAGCTGATCCCACAGGTTGTGTTTTCACCTGCAAAGGTCCATGTTCCCTATTCTTATTGTTTACTGTATTTTTTGTTTGATCACTGTTAACCTCTTTTGTTAAAGATTTCATCAGATATTTCAATAATTGGTCCATGATCAATAAACAGTCATCTAAGAAACAATTAAAGATGCTGAATCGACATTTTTTCTATTCCAAAAACATATTCTGACCAAATTTGTTCATGACTTTTTATTTCTTGAATGATAGATTTTACTTATCTTAGTTCTAGGGATCTAAAATTATAAGATAGTAAAAGAACTTTTTTGTGTTGTTGTCCAAAGCGAAGTTAATGGACACTTGTTCTATTTTCTATTAATACGATTGTTAAGAATGCTTGGATTCCTTTATATCATTCTCCTGGTTTACAAATCATGACGTGTCAATTCAAGGGTTTTCATATCAATTTAACTTGTTAAGTAAGCACCAATGCAAAGGATTAATTGCGATAGGGAAGCAGTAGGTATTTTTCAACATCATAGAATGGAACATATCGCGATAACGAACAGTATTCTAGAGCAAAAGTCCATGAAACAATACAAAATAATAACAAAGCAAACAGAGACCCCCAAATCACGAGAGGTGGGATCATGTGCCATGGAGGAGTGAGCATCCCCTGTCGACCGGTCACACCCGCCGTGTGCTCCTTGTCATGATCGGGAAATAACGGGAAAGCTCTTGTTAATTTAATTTGTAAATAATGGACGAACAATTAGTATGAAAAACGTCTGTCAGCATTTGACTTAATGATAAATTGTATATGCTGACAATGTCATTGTATCGACCACTGAACTTAAGAAATGATGACTTTAAACGAGACTGCCAATAATAAGATATGCTTTCACTAAGCTATGAAATATGAATGTCTTATCCACACATAAATGATTTGCAGACCTGCGGGAGGTATTGAACCGTGTTTTGAAAGGTGAGGCCGGCAGTATTTCTTAAACTTAGTTTTCTTCATATAAATGACAATAGACGCAAGTTTTCCAAGAAACTGTGTTGTCGTTACATTAAAATATATTGATCTTGCACAATTGGTCCCTAGTTCCATTCAAACACTAATCACAATGATAGTTGCAAAACAGCCAGAGAGCATTTTCATTTTTGTATAGATAATGCAGGTCTTGTTTTGTTGGACGGAAACGTAATCTATAGCAATTGCTAATTAAAAGACAAACAGGCAAATGCCAGGATTGGCCGGTACGTTGATTATACAAGTTGATTTTTATAAACGTTATAATTAACTTTTCAGTGATTTAAAATATGCAGTTTGCTTTGGACAAAATGTTTGGCATTTTTACATTTTGAAAGAATTCAATATTTTGTTATTCTTTACAATTTTCACATGATGAGCGTCCCCTCTCTCTCTTAAAAAAACAATTGCTAGAGTAAATACCAGGGGGCTATCTACGTAAAGAAACACAGCACATTTTATGAAACAATAAAGGGCTATTATTTAAATATCATAATTTATGTTTTTAATTTTTTTTTTTAAAAGTGAAGATAAGGAATAGTGATCTATCTTTAAAGATTCTCTAAAACGGTATTTAAACGCATCGCCCCATCAACGTTCACAGGTATTGACCAAATGTAAGGAAGATTCTGACATCAATTCTTTAAAGGCAGAGATTTCTTACCGGGTGGTAAATTCCAGGTGAGGGAGGGGCTTATTTTGCACAGGTGTGAATGCCTTGGGAGCTAGCAGTCTACCTGTAGTTATCTGTCTCCTAATCCCTATACACATGAAGTGATTTAATATACAGTGAAATACCCAGGTGTCAAACATTACCTGTGTTGGGGATTTTGAGATAATTTTAAATTAGAAGTAAAAGTTTCTCAACAATCTATATTGATTCATCTTTAAATGTTTGAAAACACCCCTTAACCCTTTAAAAAAATATGATGATATCATACTATAAATTCAAATATTACAACAAAGATTATTTTGGATGTTGGTGTATGTGTTAATTTAAAAAAAAAACCTCCTGTAACAGCCTGTAAAGAGAGCCGTGTTAACAAACATTTCATAAAAAATATCTAGGTTTATTCTTATCTTAATAAGGCTTTGTCACCATGAAGCATGCTAAAAAGATTGCTTGTAAATTCTTATCTGAATAAGAAAAGAAAAATATGTTACCCATGATTAGAAACATTTAGAAGTATTTTTAAATTTAATTGCTTCACACAGTGCTGCTCTAAACTTTATCAATAACATTTTCAACCTAGGTTACCGTGTAGCATACTAAAATTAATACAGAAATATCGGGTTAAAAAATTTTTATGTTCCAAAGTTTAATTTTTTTTAAAAATGTGTATTATATGATAATTTTCTCAAATAATCAAGCTAAAAATGTTCATAGTAATACAGTTTCTCTATACCATGTTCGGTAAACATTGAAGGATCAAAAATTAATTTGAAGGTCCCCGCGAGTGCCAAACAAGGTGTATAGGGTATACACAAGGAACAGTAAGTAAATGTAAATCAAGTTCCAGCATCCAAGGATGGACCTTCAAGCACTTGATTAACAGGGCTACCCAGACCAGGTATTTTTGAAAGCAGTGCTTAAAATCTCTGCCTTTAAGCCAAATCTCCGTGTCTTAGTTTTATTTTATTTTTTAAACATTATTTCTGTACTTTTGATGTAATTTGGAGATGACGATAAGTATTCAACGTATTAAGTTAATTCAAGCAATACAAATCAGGGGCAGTGCAAACGTAGGCCTTTATAATATCAAACATAAGCCTTTATAATATCAAACATAGGCCTTTCTAATATCAAAGGTGTAAGGAAGGAGTGGTGAGCTACCCCTGACGATCGGTCACACCCGCCGTATGCTCATTGATCATGGAAAAACGGAAAGTTTTATAATATTTGTCTAAAAATTAGTATGTAAAGGTCAGTCAGTTTTCAACTATGATAGATGTTTTTGCTGATAAGGTTATTGTATCAACCATAGAACTAACGAAATTATTACTTTTAACGATAAAGCTGCTGATATTTTTTATTTAATCATCTTGTCAATAAGTTACCTCGTTTTCAAAATTGTTCATGCGTAGAGCATGTTCTTGCGAATCGAGTCAACTAAGAGATATAAAACCATATGCAGATGATTATAGTTAATATTGCTACACAAGTAAGTAAACATGATGAATTATAATTTGAAGTCATCAAGTTTATCGTGAAGCTTTGTAATAAGGTTACCAGGTATAAATTGATATGACAAAGCCTAAAATGATCTCTGTAATTCACAGAGCTTTATTTTTTCTTTTATAATACTGCATAATGAATTTGCATCTGCTTAGAATAGATACTGTACATGTATTCTTTATTTTGACTTTTAATTTTACGTAAATTAGAAATAATTTGTGATATTTTGCAATAACAGGAATTTTTCTACACTATGCATTATTAAGTATCAAAAGTATATAGGAAGCTTAATTACTATATATTTAAATTATGAAATAAGTGGAATTTTTTTTTAACCCAAAAGATGTTTGTTTATCAATTTTTAATTAAATTAATGCAAAGTAGGCGTTATTATTTGCATTTGTGAAAAATATTTTAGATTTACTTATTTCCCCTAAAAATATTATCAAATGTAATAACTGAAGTTTAAAGAATTACCGTTGGTGAATACACATCACTTTAAGATCTCAAAGACATTTTTGTAAACATTTTCAATTATATATCAACAGCTTTGCAGGAGGGCCGTACTATTTTAAACTGACATTTAGTTTTATATTCCCTGAAATCTGTTTATATCCATCAGATCTAGAAGACATTTAATACTGAGTTTCCTCAACTGCTTATCTCTTTTATTATTTAACTCTGTCGATAAACCATTATAAGAAATGTATTTACATTTGTACTGAGAAATAAAAAGTTAAAGTTTTATGAGAGAAAAATCCTATGAAAACAAGATTTAGTTATCTTTTACTGTAAGGAAATTTATTCCTATATTTTAAGAAAAGCTATACAAAAAAGTATATAAAACTTCATAAAAAAATATATTATTTGAAAATATAAATGTCCCCTCAAAAATAAATTCTTACATTTACATTACTCCGTTTTTGTAACTGAAACATTGCAGGATTTTGAAATATATACAGTATTAAAAAAGATAATGAAAACTTTCTGAAACAGGATTATCATTTTGGTGGTTAAACATTTCTGCAAATGCTGCAATTAAAATAACAAATATATAAAGTCTCCAAACCAGAGGATTTGATTGCGTGCTAATGTTTTACAATTACAGTGTATTTTTTTCTCAACGAGACATTTTAATTAAGGCAGACATTTTTAATTAAGTTATTTCAATGAGAAAAGACTAATTAGGTGAATTTTTCAAACGATGTACTAAGTATCTTGTAAATATATTATCTAAAGAATACACTTTACGTATTTTAGGCATAAGAATTTTCAATACAAGAAAATTGAAAGTTTCTGAAGCCTACCTCGAATTTCCAATTTGTGCATGTATTAAAACAATACTAGCTGCTGCAATTTCAGCATCCTTAGAGAATGTCTTCCACTCTTCATTGTTTACGGCTCTCTATTAGAACTTCCAGTGACAAACTGTTATTGATGTATTCAAGCGACCTGGTCATCAGGCGTGAAGCGGAACCTCGCCAATCGATAACTTCAATACTGATGCCAGCAGCATTTAAATTCTAATTTCTGTCCATAGAATCTGCATCACGCTCACCTGTGATGTACCATTATATGTTTAGTATTGAGGTGCAACCATGAATTACTTATATGGCATTTATTGCCAGGGACATCACGCTCACCTGTGATGTACCATGATATTGATAGTATTGAGGTGCAGCCATGAATTACTTATATGACATTTATTGCCAGGGACATCACGCTCACCTGTGATGTACCATGATATTGATAGTATTGAGGTGCAGCCATGAATTACTTATATGGCATTTACTGCCAGGGACATCACGCTCACCTGTGATGTACCATGATATTGATAGTATTGAGGTGCAGCCATGAATTACTTATATGACATTTATTGCCAGGGACATCAGGCTCACCTGTGATGTACCATTACATTGGTAGTATTGAGGTGCAGCCATGAATTACTTATATGGCATTTATTGCCAGGGACATCACGCTCACCTGTGATGTACCATGATATTGACAGTATTGAGGTGCAGCCATGAATTACTTATATGGCATTTACTGCCAGGGACATCACGCTCACCTGTGATGTACCATGATATTGATAGTATTGAGGTGCAGCCATGAATTACTTATATGACATTTATTGCCAGGGACATCACGCTCACCTGTGATGTACCATGATATTGATAGTATTGAGGTGCAGCCATGAATTACTTATATGGCATTTATTGCCAGGGACATCACGCTCACCTGTGATGTACCATGATATTGATAGTATTGAGGTGCAGCCATGAATTACTTATATGACATTTACTGCCAGGGACATCACGCTCACCTGTGATGTACCATGATATTGATAGTATTGAGGTGCAGCCATGAATTACTTATATGACATTTATTGCCAGGGACATCACGCTCACCTGTGATGTACCATGATATTGATAGTATTGAGGTGCAGCCATGAATTACTTATATGGCATTTACTGCCAGGGACATCACGCTCACCTGTGATGTACCATGATATTGATAGTATTGAGGTGCAGCCATGAATTACTTATATGACATTTATTGCCAGGGACATCACGCTCACCTGTGATGTACCATGATATTGATAGTATTGAGGTGCAGCCATGAATTACTTATATGGCATTTACTGCCAGGGACATCACGCTCACCTGTGATGTACCATGATATTGATAGTATTGAGGTGCAGCCATGAATTACTTATATGGCATTTACTGCCAGGGATAACCTGAATGTAGAATCTGAGATAATGCACAGCATTCAAGCTCATAGTCCGTTCAAGCAACACAAATCAAGAGCAGAGAAAACACATACCCCCAAATCTATCAGAGGTGGGATCAGCTGTACTTGAGCAGTGGACATTCCCTGTCAACCTTTCGTACCCGCCGTGTGATGTATGTCATTGTCTGAAAAAAAAAACCGGAAACATACCTCGATACTTTAGTGTGTAATTAATTACAACTGGTATGAAAAACGTCAGTCAGAAATTGACTCAGGTTGTATTTACTGCGGAGGTGATTGTATCAACCATAAAACTTGCCAAATGATGGCTTTAAAAGACACTGTTGATGTCCTTGTTTTACTAACTTGTTTGCAAATAGCTTGTATTGTTTTAGAAATTGTTCCTATGCAGTTCATGCTATTGCGTATCAAATCAACTGAGAGATATAAACCCCAGATGTAGGTAATAAGGGTATATAGATACATTAGTAAAGGAAGTCGAAAATTGAAAAGCTGAAGTTTTTTAAAAAGATTTTTAAAGATTTATTGTTAAGAAACCACTTTCGTATTTTTCTAGTAAAATTACAAATTTGAAACAAATGTATCAGACTATGTGGTATTCAAGATATGTAAAAATAAAAATACATGTAACTACTATTAATTGATAATAAAAGTCAATAAAATATATGGAAATAAGGAACAGTATTAAAGTTTAAGGTGTGTTAAGCTATACAAAATTGGAGCAAAGCAAACACAGACTTTTAAAACATTAGAGATAGGATCATGTCCCATGGAGGAATGACCAACCCTTGCCGTGTGCTCCTTCTTTGATCTAGAAAAATCTGTACACAACTTAGTATGTATATAATGGTTTTCCTTTAATATACTTTATCCAAATGAATAATTGGAACAAACACAGTCTTTTTTTCTTCTTGGATAGTCACATTAAAATTTGTCACAATATGTTAAAAATTAAAAAAGCAATAAAATCATTTGAAAGTAATGTCAGAGTTGTTAAAATTATCTTATATTTCCAGAAAATAAAATAAACAGTGAGGGTCTGTGATGTTAATTTTTGAATATTAATAAAAAAAAAAAATGCCAATTTTGATCTTTAATTTGGCTATTTCTTTTTAAGGACTTAAGTAATACTAGTATATTTAAAAAAAATATTTGCCAAACATGATGATAGAATTCATGAAAAATTTAATATATAATTCAGGACCAGCATAGAACATTTCACTGCACAAAATTAATCTTTTAGTAGGCTGCAAATAAGAAATACGAATCCAAACTTAACAATACTGAATATTTCGAATGAGGAAAAATGGATTTTAATGAGAATTAGAATTCTCTTCTCAAAAACAAATTCACCACAAATATACCCGGCAGTTCCTCACCAAATGTTATCGGTATGGAATTTAATCATGGGGATTTAATTGACTATAGTTAAATTAGCAATATAGAATCCAAATTTATAGTAAGAACTAAAAGATTATGTAGATTTTTTTTTAAACAGAGGCTAGGACAAAACTCTGCTGAAAAGCTAAGAAGCGAACCTCGTTAATGATAAATTTGTTGAATGGGTCATTGTATCGACCACAGGACCTACGAAATGATGACTTTAAATAAGACTTCTTTCGGTGACTTTTTTTTAATTTACCTCATTTTGGAAATTGTTCATATGTAGAACATGCTTTTGAGTATCTAATCAACAGAGATATAAACCCCGTCTGCAGGTGAAATCACGTCTATCATAAAACTAAGTGGCAAATTTCTTACCATTTTTGGTTTTTTTTTCTTTCAAGTGAAATATACATCAATAAAAGTCTCTGGTATCTTTTATTTAAAGCTCACCTGGATACCTGGATACATAATACAGGGTGTTTCAGCAATCATGTCCCCGACTGTGGGGCCTCAATAAAAAGTAAGACAGTAAAAACGAAATATTTTTCTTTTCTTTTTTTTGCAAAAATGAAAATCACATAACCAAACAATCTTATTAATATGAAAGTTGAAGTAATTCTGAATCAACCAATTTTTTAAGACAAGTACTTTTAAAGTTTGAACACCAGCAGCAGTTTCAATTTAACGTCACTTTTAAGTGTTCTGAAAAGTCACGATATTTTCAGTCAGCATCCTCATTTGTCTCTGAAGTCCCTTACGACATATAAACGATATATCATTCAATTATTTTGACAAAATATACCGAGTATTCAACACCTACATATCTACTTTATACAGGGATTTTTCGCCCCGTGTTATTTTCGCCCTCTTGCACTTGCAAACAATTTTGCCCCGTTTTAAATTCGCCCAGTCATAGTTCCGTTTAAGAAATTATACTGTGTAATTTGAATTAGCCCCGTTTTAAATTCGCCCAATCAAGAAGAGGGCGAATGGGCGAAAACAAAACGGGGGCGAACATTTCCCAATATAGTATTATGAATTCAATTTTATTGAATTTGTTGCTATTAGAGATCGAATACCTTAAGGTGACTTTAAACTAAGACTCTAAATTCGTGACCATCAACTTATTTGTCATTTGAGGCCCAAGATTTTGCTGAAAGACCTGATCTTTAAAACTACTTAAATATTGTCGACAAGACCCAACAAAGATTATAATATTAAAATACAAATAAATTATCAACTGACTTTTTACAAACAATATAAACAAGAGGCCCACGGGCCTTATAGGTCACCTGAGTATTGTGTAACAACTTTCAAACAATTAAATTTGGTTCGTGATTTAAACCAGAGCCATGAAATTCACAATTTACAATTTTGAAAGAGGCACCATTGCTTATCATAATTATTAACTTAGCATGCTTACTCAGTTTACTTAATACCCAGAGGTAGATCAGAGTAACAAAGAGAAAATGCACTTCCACTTTATACCCAGTTGTGCACCTCACCCTAAAGGAACCACTGACCCATAGGCCACATACATGTTTTTCAAAATTTTGCAAATTTAATCATAAAATGGTTGATTAATACCAAAGAGCAGATTTCAAAGCATTAATTTATTTTCAGACTATGTAACCCCCCTCCCCCTCTGACCCTGGGGGCATAAAAAAACCTCTTTGCTAGATGCACCTTTCTTCATCATAAATATATATATACTTGGATCATTGGCATAAAACCCAGAAGCAACCTTCCAGCTGTATAAAGGCATATTTGTTGTGTATATATAAACAAACACTACCCCCTGTTTAGGAAAATATCTAAAAGAATTAATGTATTTTTACTATATAATCAATAGAGCCCCGCCCTAACACCAGAACCCCTAACCCTGGGGCCATAAAGTTCACAATTTTGGAAGAGGCACTCTTGCTCATCATAACTATGTACTTAGTTAGTTTATCTAATACACAGAAGCAGAGAAGATTTTCAAAGAATTAATGCATTTTCACTATATAATCAATAGAGCCCCGCCCTAACACCAGAACCCCTGACCCTGGGGCCATAAAATTCACAATTTTGTAGGAGGCACTCTTGCTTATCATAACTATGTACTTAGTTAGTTTATTTATTACACAGAAGCAGAGAAGAAGATTTTCAAAGAATAAATGCATTTTCACTATATAATCAATATAGCCCCGCCCTAACACCAGAAACCCTGACCCTGGGGCCATAAAATTCACAATTTTTGGAAGAGGCACTCTTGGTCATCATAACTATGTGCTTAGTGAGTTTATTTAATACCCAAAAGCAGAGAAGAAGATTTTCAAAGAATAAATGCATTTTCACTATATAAACAATACAGCCCCGCCCTAACACCAGAAACCCTTACCCTGGGACCATAAAATTCATAATTTTGTAGGAGGCACTCTTGCTCATCATAACTTTGTACTTAGTTAGTTTATTTAATACCCAGGAGCAGAGAAGAAGATTTTCAAAGAAATAATGCATTTTCACTATATAATCTATAGAGCCCCGCCCTAACACCAGAACCCCTGACCCTGGGGCCATAAAATTCACAAATCTGGAAGAGGCACTTTTGCTCATCATAACTATGTGCTTAGTATATTTAATACCCAGGAGCAGAGAAGAAAATTTTCAAAGAAATAATGCATTTTCACTATATAATCTATAGAACCCCGCCCTAGCACTAGAAGCCCTGACCCTGGGGCCATGAATTTCACAATTTTGGTAGAGGACTCAATGCTCATTACATTCGTGCAAACAGTTTGCCTGCTTGATGTCCATGAGTAAAGAAGAAGATTTTTAAAGATTGCAATAATTATAGTGGTTTTGGCCCCACCCCTCAGGCCCCAGGGGGGCGGGGACCATGAAATTCACAATTTTTGTTCCCCTCCACCCATAGATGATGTATACCTAATTTTGTTGAAATTGGTTCAGTGGTTTCAGAGAAGAAGCTAAAAATGTTCAAATGTTAACACACGACGCACGACACACGACGCACGACGACGGACGAAAACTGATAGCAATAGGTCACCTGAGTTACTCAGGTGACCTAAAAATTATATTAAGTTTTTGAATTGCATTGACCAATTATCGAATCAGAGGGAAGATCTAAACATATAAATCAGTGTTTTTATTAAAAGATTTTAACATATAAATCAGTGATTTTTATGCCCCCTTTGAAGAAGGGATGGCCTATTGCTTTGCTGCTGTTTGTCAGTCGACCATCAGTTTCCGTTAATTTTCTTCACAGAGGATGCACATACTGAAATGAAATTTGGTATACAGATTTATCGTAACAATTTCTAGATCAACTTCTGTTTCGGGTACAATCAGACCATTTTAGATAGAGTTATCCCCATTCCAATTATTTGCAGTTTCCGTTCATTTACTTTGCAGAGGTTGCACATATAAAAATGATATTGGGTATACAGATTTATAATAAAAATATATAGGTCGAGTTTTGTTTTATGTAAGATCAGACCATTTTTGGAAAGAGTTATGCCCCCTTGGACTTAGAAAAATTCCACTTATTTGGTGAGGGGGGGGGGATAAGTGCTTTACAAACATCTCTTATATTTGTACGATTTTTTAAAACAGTCATATAAATCAGTGATTTTTTTATTATCAGATTTTAACATGTAATTCATTGATTTTTAATTATTAAATTTTAAAACATAAATCATTTAATTCAGTGATTTCTTATTATTATGTTTAAACATATAAATCAGTTATTTTTTATTATTAGATTTTAACATATAAATTAGTGGTGGGTATTTTGCATCATTGATCAAGTTTGCAGCATATCAAAAATATAAAAATTTTATGAACTTACTTAAATTCTTACTTAAGTACTAATACTCACACTGGCTGTGGAAAATGGACCGTCTTTATGCTTTGTGAACAAGTACTTTGTCAATTATTTCCACAGTGTGACATTCTCATGCAATATTTACAGGTGTTACAATCAAACAAAACATTAAAAGGTTCTTTTGAATATTATAAAGACTTCATTTGATACAGTTCATCTTTTCAACATATCTTGCAAAGTGTTAATTGTATAAAAGGTGATGCTTATGAACAGTCTTCGATCTCAAAAAAATCTATGAACAAAACAAATCTATAAATAAGACAAACCAGAAGTCTCTGTCGAGACTGTAGCTCTACTGGTTTATACTATAACAAAAAAAAAAAAAGAAAAATAGCAGCTGGAACTTGAAACTTTAAAACAGCAATAAATAGAATAATGACCCTTGATTAAGTCAATTTTTGTGGCAATATTGCAATAAAACTACATCTAGGAGAAACTTTTAACAAAATTTTAAAAATTTTCAATTTGAGTTACCATGGCAACACCATTCACCAAATAAATTTAAAATAAAAATAAAGATGACAGTGTATCTTAGAGTAGTCTATCTGCATGCCACATTATATCAAAAACAAAGTAAAACTGCATTTGTAATAGCATTTTCAAGTTATTTTATAGAAATTTCTATATTTAGTAATCATGCAACACTGTTCAGCAAAATAAAAAAAAAACATTTATACACAGAATTATGTATCTTAGTGTAATCTACCTTTGTTCCAAGTTATATCCAAATCAGAACAAAACTGTAGGAGGAAAAGCATTTTGAAAACAATTCAAAGAAGTTTCTATTCTTAGTAACCATGGCAACACCATTCATCGAAATCAAAAAGCAATGCACAGAATTATGTATTTTAGTATAGTTTATTTGTGTGCTGAGTAAAAATAAAATCAGATAAAACTGTAGGAATAGTAGTATTTTGAAAGCATTTCACAGAAATTTTTAAATTTTAGTAAATACGGCAAAATCGCTCATTGAAGTCAAAAACCGATGCAAAGAATTATGTATTTTAGTATAGACTACTTGTGTGCCAAGTTATATTGAAATCAGGCCAAAACTGTAGGAGGAGTAACAGATATGTAGGTGTTGAAAAATTATTTACAGACAGATGGACAGCTAGACAGACGCATTACTATCGCATAAGCTCTTCTGGTCTCTGACCATTACAGCTTAAACCAAAAGTCTCTGTCGAGACTGTAGCTCTACTGGTTTGTACTTATCAAAAACCATTGCACTATTTTATGTATCTTTGTGTAGTCTACCTGTGTGCCAACTTATTTTGAAATCAGACAAAAACTGTAGAAGGAGTAGCGTTTTTAAGGAATTCCACAGAAAATTCTATTTTGAGTAACCATAGCAATACCGTTCATCGAAATCAAAAACCGATGCACTATTCTATGTATCTTAGTGTAGTCTACTTGTGTGCCAAGTTATATTGAAATCAGACCAAAACTGTAGAAGGAGTAGCGTTTTAAAGGGATTTCACAGAAAATTCTATTTTTAGTAACCATGGCAACACCGTTCATCGAAATCAAAAAACGATGCACTAATTCTATGTATCTTAGTGTAGTCTACTTGTGTACCAAGTTATACTGAAATCAGACAAAAACTGTAGAAGGAGTAGCGTTTTTAAGGAATTTTACAGAAAATTCTATTTTTAGTAACCATGGCAACACCGTTTATCGAAATTAAAAACCGATGCACTATTCTATGTATCTTAGTATAGTCTACTTGTCTGCCAAGTTATATTGAAATCAGACAAAAACTGTAGAGGAATTAGCGTTTTTAAGGAATTTTACAGAAAATTCTACTTTTAGTAACCATGGCAACACCGTTCATCGAAATCAAAAATCGATGCACTATTCTATGTATCTTAGTGTAGTCTACTTGTGTGCCAAGTTATATTGAAATCAGACCAAAACTGTAGAAGGAGTAGCGTTTTAAAGGAATTTCACAGAAAATTCTATTTTTAGTAACCATGGCAACACCGTTCATTGAAATCAAAAACCGATGCACTATTCTATGTATCTTAGTGTAGTCTACTTTTGTGCCAAGTTATACTGAAATCAAACTAAAATTGTAGGAGGAGTAGCGTTTTGAAAAATTGTTTACAGACGGACAGACAGACAGACGGACGGACGCCGGACGCATTACTATCGCATAAGCTCTTCTGGTCTCTGACCAGTAGAGCTAAAAAAACAGACCCCTGGAATCTGGTTACGTGCTTATGTAAAAGGTGAAGATAATGAAGTACGATCAATTTTTAAAAAAAAAAAACTGTGAAAACCATGAAGGCGTAAAACATAGACTCCAGAAAATCCCCAGGATGCTTCCACATAAATATAAAACCTGGATTCCCTATTGTGGGTCTTTCCTATTTCTGGGGTCATGATTTGAACAATTTAGAATCTACACTACCCAAGGATGCTTCCACATTAGTTTCAACTTTTCTGGCCCAGTGATTCTACAGAATATGATTTTTTAATGACCCATCTGACAATTTCTACAAGTTTAGAAAATTAATAATTTAGTAATTTGTATTTAAATATTTTTATTTGACAAGCAACGAAGACACAAATTTGGTTGGAAAGTTTATAAAATCTGTCATTCTCTTTGTAAATAATGTAATGAGGTATATACACATGAAATTTGTCAGATCTTAAGCAGCAAAAACATTGTAGCTTAAGACTGTTGTCTGACTGTGTCTTCTAACAATGTACAGCAAAAAAGATCACTAAGATGGATTCATGACTAACAACAGAAGAAAATACAATGTCCTCCGTATCTCATAATAAAGACTGCCCTGTGTAGACACACTTTGTCCATCTCTATGTATGTACATTCTGGTCTGTGTGTCAGTCTTTTCTTCACTTTGTCTGTCTGTATCTGTATGTACATACTGCTCTGTGTGTCAGTCTGTCTTCTCTCCATCTTTTGACTTCTTGGATTCCGTTTTCTGTACGTCCACCACTCGGACGCCGTCCCTGTCGATGGCAAAGTCGTAATCAGCTGACTTCTCCAGGCTCGCTAACAATCTCTCCTCTACATTGTCTGGTGTGATGAAACCCACATCCTACCAACAGAAAATAAGTAGGCTTTAGTCTGGTGTGATGAAACCCACATCCTACCAACAGAAAATTACTAGGCTTTAGTCTGGTGTGATAAAACCCACATCCTACCAACAGAAAATAACTAGACTTTGGTCTGGTGTGATAAAACCACGTCCTACCAACAGAAAATTACTAGGCTTTGGTCTGGTGTGATGAAACCCACATCCTACCAACAGAAAATAACTAGACTTAAGTCTGGTGTGATAAAACCCACATCCTACCAACAGAAAATAACTAGGCTTTAGTCTGGTGTGATAAAACCCACATCCTACCAACAGAAAATAACTAGACTTTAGTCTGGTGTGATAAAACCCACATCCTACCAACAGAAAATAACTAGGCTTTAGTCTGGTGTGATAAAACCCACGTCCTAAACAGAAAATAACTAGGCTTTAGTCTGGTGTGATGAAACCCACGTCCTACCAACAGAAAATAACTAGGCTTTGGTCTGGTGTGATGAAACCCACATCCTACCAATAGAAAATAACTAGGCTTTGGTCTGGTGTGATAAAACCCACATCCTACCAACAGAAAATAACTAGGCTTTAGTCTGGTGTGATAAAGCCCACGTCCTACCAACAGAAAATAACTAGGCTTTGGTCTGGTGTGATAAAACCCACATCCTACCAACAGAAAATAACTAGGCTTTAGTCTTGACAGATAAACAATGTCTTGATTCCTTCTACCTGTAACAAGAAATGAATGATGACTTGTTCATACCTTTACCCTCTTCTGTTGTTTGACAGTTTCCTAAGAATTGTTCATTGATTACTTGTTCATACCTTTACCCTCTTCCAGTTGTTTGACAGTTTACTAAGAATTGTTCATTGATTACTTGTTCATAACTTTTCTCAGTTCAGTTATTTGATTGTTTTCTATGAGAACTGTTCACTGATGACTTGTTCATAACTTTTCTCTGTTCAGTCGTTTGATGGTTGCCTCTGTGAATTTTTCACTGATGACTTGTTCATACCTTTTCTCTGTTCAGTCATTTGATGGTTTCCTATGTGAACTGTTCACTGATCACTCGTTCATACCTTTTCTCTGTTCAGTCGTTTGATGTTTTGTGGCAACGCACTTTGAAACCAGAAGTCTCTGTTGAGACTGTAGCTCTACTGGTTTGTACTTATCAAAAACCATTGCACTATTTTAAGTTTCTTTGTGTAGTCTACTTGTGTGCCAACTTGTTTTGAAATCAAACTAAAACTGTAGAAGGAATAGCGTTTTAAAGGAATTTCACGGAAAATTGTATTTCTAGTAACCATGGCAACACCATTCATTGAAATCAAAAACTTATGCACTATTCTTTGTATCATAGTGTAGTCCACTTGTGTGCCAAGTTATATTGAAATCAGACCAAAACTGTAGCAGGAGTAGCATTTCAAAGGAATTTCACAGAAAATTCTATTTTTAGTAACCATGGCAACATCGTTCATCGAAATCAAAAACCGATGCACTATTCTATGTATCTTAGTGTAGTCTACTTGTGTGCCAAGTAATATTGAAATCAGACTAAAATTGTAGGAGGAGTAGCGTTTTGAAATATTGTTTACAGACAGACGGACAGACAGACGGACGGACAGCTAGACAGACAGACGGACGGACGCCGGACGCATTACTATCGCATAAGCTCTTCTGGTCTCTGACCAGTAGAGCTAAAAAGTACGCACTTTGAAAAATTTTTTCAAAGTGCGTTAAAATTGGGACAAAATCAACGCACTTTGAAAAAAATTTTCAAAGTGCGTTAAATTTGGGACCAACTCAACGCACTTTGAAAAAATTTTTCAAAGTGCGTTAAGAGTCTACATCAATATATTTTACCATGGAGACACTTAATGCGCTTTGAAAAAAAATCATATTCTAGTAATGGAAAGATTTTATTTGTCATTTATCTTTCAAAAAACTAACCCTTACCCTAACCTTAAAAAAGAATTGATTTACTCCCGTCGAAGAGAGGAGAAGACGGGTATAAGATCCCTAGCCTCAGTCCATATCTTTATCTTTCCAATACATAGGTGTCGGTGACAAACGGGGGAGGCGAGCAATAAACCCAAAAGGGGTAATCTGCATTTTCAATGCTTACACGATGTATATATCATTCAAAAATAAGTGGGGGGCTTAGCCCTCCCCCCTCCCCTGGCCCTTCACCTGGTCTCGACGTCGATGCTATATACTCAAAACATTCATATAATTATGTATTTACCTAACTGGTATGACGTTGAAAACTTTCAATATTAAATGAGTTAATTGAAATAGATGAAAACTAGAAATTTTTAAGTACAGTAAAACATATGAGAGAGAAAGAATTTTCATAGTTTTGAACAATCAAACTGCCCCCTTTTTATTATATATGATAAATGCTAAGTTCCTTAAAGCTGTCCACCGTTAGTGCCCCCTTTACATCTATTTATCAAAGACTACAGAATTTAAAAAAAAACGAATTAATGATCTTAAACAATCGTCACTCTTTTTTTAAGACCTCTTTCCCTTTTATTTTATCAAAACCTCAGATATTTAAAACATCAATATCTCAGGTCCTGAAGTGACTTTATCATAAAAAGTTATCCAACCGGGATCTGTTATTTATCATACCGATTATTTTCTAGGAATATTGATCAATCTTTACATTTTTTTTCAAAGTGCGTTAATATGGTCGATATTAACGCACTTTGAAATAAAAATTAATTTTTTCAAAGTGCGTAAGCTTGGTCCCAAATTTAACGCACTTTGAAAATTTTTTTCAAAGTGCGTAATTTTTCAAAGTGCGTTGTAACAATGGTTTCCTCTGTGAACTTTTCACTGATCACTTGTTCATACCTTTTCTCTGTTCAGTTGTTTGATGGTTTTCTCTGAGAACTGTTCACTGATTACTTGTTCATACCTTTTCTCTGTTCAGTCTTTTGATGGTTTCCTCTGTGAACTGTTCACTGATGACCTGTTCCTGTCCTAATATCCCCAGTAACCTCCCTTCTTTCTCTTGATATCTTTTTTCCTCAGCTGCTTCCCTACAACCAAAACAAACTTCCCAGTCTACATCAAAATATGGCATTGTGTCAAACATGTATTTACTGTATCCAGGGTTATTTTCGCCCCGTGTTATTTTTGCCCTTTTGAACAATTTTGCCCCGTTTTAAATTTGCCCAGTCATAGTTCTGTTTAAGAAATTATGAGTTGTAATTTGAATTTGCCCCGTTTTCAATTTGCCCAATTAAGGAGAGGGCGAAAGAAGCAAAATAAAATGAGGGCGAAAATTTTCTTGTACACAGTATATGAAATATTTAGTTTATAGTAGAATCTGGTTGATCAAGAGATGTTCGTAAAACAAATCATTCCTGTCTGAAACCAGAATCTCAACAGTGACATCACTGAACAGATATCATGTTGTCTTGATTTCTTGTTTTTAAAAAATTTGATTAAATGTATAGATTTATCACATGTATGAAATGATACAGATAATGAATGAGATACTGTAGACGTACTTTTTTCTGCAGGGTCATAATTCCGCGGAATCACAATTTCTGTTTAATCCACGGGTTGAAAATTACGCGGATTTCTTAAACTGTCCCTATATGCCTTACACTGATATTACTGTAGATCACTAAATTTTCGCGACACCTTATTTTCGCGAGATTGTCATTTACTCTTTGTAAGCGAGACATAATTTTCACGAATAGTTGTTATTCCTCTATATAATCGTGAGGAATACTTTTATACAGGAGAACATAATTTTAGCGAATGCATTGTCTCGCGTAATTATGCGAAAATAAATTTCTCGTGAATAAAAAGTGATTTACAGTAAGTACACTTGAACATTTCCATGGAAAATTTGTGACCGCGTACATAGCGTAAAATAATACCACGCGGAAAAAAGTACTTCTACGGTATATAAAATGATACTTTATCAATTAATGATTGGTTTTTATTCCTATTTATTCCATTTATCTCTAAACTCTCCACTACATGACTTTGACAACTTTCCTTAGAATGGCTTCATGACTTTTATGACTTACCTTAGAATCACTAACATGACTTTTATGACTTACCTTAGAACCGCTACATAACTTTTATGACTTACCTTAGAACCGCTACATAACTTTTATGACTTACCTTAGAACCGCTACATAACTTTTATGACTTACCTTAGAACCGCTACATAACTTTTATGACTTACCTTAGAACTGCTACATAACTTTTATGACTTACCTTAGAACCGCTACATAACTTTAATGACTTACCTTAGAACCGCTACATAACTTTTCTGACTTACCTTAGAATCACTACACGCCTGTTGTAATGACGTTTTATGACTTACCTGAGAACCGCTACACGACTGTTCCAGACCCTCATTCTCTCCTGCATCTCCTGCCAGCTCGCTTCAGCTACCTTATACTTGTCATGGTTAGGGTTATAATCATTATGGCTACATGACTGTTGTAATGACGTTTTATGACATACCTTAGACTACTCGACTGTTGTAATTATGTTTTATGACTTACCTTAGAACCGCTACACGACTGTTGTAATTATGTTTTATGACTTACCTGAGAACGGCTACACGCCTGTTGTAATGATGTTTTATGACTTACCTGAGAACGGCTACACGCCTGTTGTAATGACGTTTTATGACTTACCTGAGAACCGCTACAGGCCTGTTGTAATGATGTTTTATGACTTACCTTAGAACCGCTACACGCCTGTTGTAATGACGTTTTATGACTTACCTGAGAACTGCTACATGACTGTTCCAGACCTTCATTCTCTCCTGCATCTCCTGCCAGCTGGCTTCAGCTATCTTATACTTGTCAGCTTTCACCTTCACTGGATTGGGTAAACTCTGGTCTGGTACTAGTTTTATCAGTTGCCTAAAAAGATATGAATCATTTTATGAAAACAGTTAACATTTGTATTCAATGGATTATCTTACAGTTTTGTTATTTTGTTATAAGAGGTCTTTGGTGATAGAATTGACTAATTCAATCTGACGTTTATACTGTAGATTGGGAAATAATCACGATGGTTTTAATTTCGCTATGTTCGCAATTTATTATTTTTCCGTGAAAATAAACCCAATGTGAATGCTATCATTAACTATTAAAACATTTAAATTGTAAGAAATTTTCCTACAGCATGAAATTAAAACCATCACGATTGGAACTTTTTGAGAAATTGTGCCAGGAATATTAACACTGTGGAATTAAAACAACTTACAGTATTATGTAGGCATTCCAATCACTGTGATTTAGTTAAGTAGCCCGAATTAACTATATTTTATCCCATGTTTATCCCTTTAGCCAAGGGATGTGACTTATTGGGTATTTCTATATATAAGCAGTGTAAAACATTGGTTGTGAAGTATTAAACGTGTGATAAAAAAAATCTCCCATGATTTGTAGTTGCCTGTTGGATACGATTTTTAACCAGCTTGTTGTGTGTAATTTTATCCCCTCACCAAGGCCTGGTGATAAAAAGTCTTATTTCCTATCTAGCTTGTAACACGAGCTTTGATTGGTTACAAAGTCGGGTGTAAATATCCGTGCACCCGACTTGAGCCGGGTGTAAATAAAACGTGACGTCACAATGCATACATTCTCTATGATAGTTATCTAATCGATAGATTGAGACACACTCTGATGTTTACAAAGCATTTTTATGGGTATTATGGAAATAAATTCATTATCCAGGTTCAATCAAGGGTGTACGGGGATTTACCCCGGGTTGTATTCCATACACCCTTCGGCCTTCGGCCTCAGGGTGTATGGAATAAAACCCGGGGTAAATCCCCGTACACCCTTGATTGAACCTGGATAACTTATAATATCCAACTACAAGTCATGGGAGATTGGATGTATAGCAGACAGTATATAGCCAATGTATAGGGAATTTATACTGCTTCACTAGTGAGATAGCTTTTCTAGTGATGCAGTCTAGTCTCCCTCTTTTTCAGTCAAATTATGCTAAGAAATGGTGAGCCTGTTTAACCCTTGAATGGGTGACCACTTCATGTTACAATATGCATGTAGGATTCATTTGCATTCATTACAACTTACTTGCTTTAGAGTAAGGTACTCCCAATGTAATTTGTAAATTACAGAAACAAGAGGCCCATGGGCCACATCGCTCACCTGAGTAACTTGGGTGATGAAGATTTCCTCTCTTGCTATACCTATCATGCCACCCTACACCCTCCCTTTCCAAGATTTTAATATTTTAGAATCTACACTACCCAAGGATGCTTTCACATAAGTTTCAGCTTTCCTGGACCAGTGGTTCTTGAGAAGAAGATTCTTGGGAAGATTTTTTCTAAATATATCAATGTAAAACTTGGATTCCCTATTGTGGCCCCGCCCTACCCCCGGGATCATGATTTTAACAATTTAATATCTACTCTACATCAGGATGCTTTCACATAAGTTTCAGCCTTCATGGATCAGTGGTTCTTGAGAAGAAGATTTTTAAAGATTTGTTCTATACATTTCTATGTAAAACTTGGATTCCCTATTGTGGCCCCGCCCTACCCCCAGGGGTCATGATTTTAACAATTTAATATCTACACTACCCAAGGATGTTTCCACATAAGTTTCAGTTTTCCTGGCCCAGTGGTTCTTGAGAAGAAGATTTTTAAAGATTTGTTCTATACATTCCTATGTAAAACTTATATTCCCTATTGTGGCCCCGCCCTACTCCCAGGGGTCATGATTTTTTCAATTTAATATCTACACTACCCAAGGATGTTTCCACATAAGTTTCAGCTTTCCTGGCCCAGTGGTTCTTGAGAAGAAGATTTTTAAAGATTTGTTCTATACAATTCTATGTAAAAATTATATTCCCTATTGTGGCCCTGCCCTACCCCCGGGGGTCATGGTTTTTACAATTTAATATTTACACTACCCAAGGATGTTTCCACATAAGTTTCACCAATCATGACTTCGCTGTTCTTGAGAAGATTTTTAAAGATTTGTTCTATACATTTCTATGTAAAACTTGGATTCCCTATTGTGGCCCCGCCCTACCCCCGGGGGACATGATTTTAACAATTTAATATCTACACTACTCAAGGATGCTTTCACATAAGTTTCAGCTTTCCTGGGCCAGTGGTTCTTGAGAAGATTTTTAAAGATTTGTTCTATACATTTCTATGTAAAACTTGGATTCCCTATTGTGGCCACGCCCAACCCCTGGGGGTCATGATTTTAACAATTTAATATCTACATTACTCAAGAATGCTTCCACATAAGTTTCAGCTTTCCTGGCCCAGTGATTCTTGAGAAGAAGATTTTTTAATGACCCCACCCAATTTTTGTCTTTTCTTGATTATCTCCCCTTGTAAGGGGACTTGGCCCTTCATTTTTACAATTTAAACTTCCCTTCACCTAAGGATGCTTTGTACCAAGTTTGGTCAAAATTGGCCCAGTGGTTCTTGAGAAGAAGTCGAAAATGTGAAAAGTTTACGGACGGACAGACGGACGGACGGACGGACGACGGACAAAATGTGATCAGAAAAGCTCACTTGAGCCTTCGGCTCAGGTGAGCTAAAAAAGATTGCCTATGTAAATGATGTATATCCCTCTATACTAGACTATAGTATTGGAAAAGGAAAGGAGAGAAATGTGATGGACCAGAACAGGATTCAAACCCGTGTCCTCTGAATCTCCAGTCAGATGCTCTACCGACTGAATCTCCAGTCAGATGCTCTACCGACTGAATCTCCAGTCAGATGCTCTACCGACTGAATCTCCAGTCAGATGCTCTACCGACTGAACTATCTGGCTACCGATGATCGAAAAGGTCTGATTGCCACAATATAAAATCACTATCAATTATTTTCCTTTGGAATTATACATTCAATCCGATTGTTTTAGATCATGTCACATGAGGTAAGACAATTCGTGATGTCTCCCTCACGTGCAGGGTGACAACTGTCGTTGCCCTTCAGATGACAATAAAAGAAGAAAATAAAATAAGATTAAATAAATACCCACGGGAATACAGGTTGAAAATAGCTAATTGAAGGTGAGTATCCTTTTTTATGTCAATTTAGCATGGAAATTTTTATTCAAAGACACCGTAAATTTTTTGGTTGCATTTTAATCGATACAAGATATGCTATTTTACCTTTATTTTATGCAATTGTGTGAAAATTGAGAGCGAGAAATCATGTGAAATAAAAGTCAAATGTGTGCATCTTTTCATGAGCTTATAATACATTGAATTTCTTCATATAGATCGAGGTACAGTCATATTCAAATATGAATTCCATAGTTAAGTTTTCACATTTCTTATAGTTTTTACGTTTATGAACATGTTAATGAACAAACTGAAATGATGGAGTGTTCAACTGCTCCTTGGAAACTCTTGTCTTACTTTTTGGGAATATAATTCCTCATCGGACATTAAAATTTCATAAACATTGTAGCCACTTCCTTTCTTTACTATACTATTTGATACACAGGGTAGATTTTACCTTTTGTTGTCTATTTATTTTATATAGCTGTCTCAAAACCTCATTATAATATGATATACAACGCACTATCTGAATGGTTCTAGACAATCACTATGTCACTGTGATACTTATTACTCATGGCAATAACTTTTCCTAATACTCATCTATAATGAAAAAATGTGTTAAAAAATAAACATGAATTTTAGTTACTTGTATTACATGTAGTATCATATTGTATGAGAAAAAAAACAGGTTGCTTTTTGTTTACCTGTATAATTTTTATTTGATGAATAAATCTTCCATACAATTAAAAATATATACATGTAACCGAGTTTAGCCGACCGTGATATTCAAAGACATATAGCAAAAAACTTTGCATTAACATTTAATTCAATGATTACGAAAGGAGGGGTCTCTTGGACACATGCAGAACACAGTCAAGGTTGTTTTGTCAGAGGTGGTCAAGAAGCCTTTCGCCCCCCCCCCCCCCCAGTTTTTGAAGTCGCCAAGAAATGGTAAAATATGGATGACTTAGCGAAATTAAATGATCAACAGTTCTGTTCTCTAAGCTGTATTCCTGAAACTATCACTGTCTCTGCTAAAATGTTGAAGACATATTCTGCAAATATGTATGAATGATAAAAAAGAAAGAGAAAGAGGGTTTTTTTAGCCAAAATTTTAGACATTTTTATCTCTTACATTATTTATACATTCATAAATAAATTTGATTTTATGCACAAGATGAATATTAGGGTAATTAATGACGCATAATTAGATACGATAGACAATCCCTTGTTTATACATGGCATTATATCTTGTGTTTGAAATATGTTTCCGTATAATTTGATTTAAATTATTATCAAATTGTTCATGTTTGTCGTGTTGATGTGGAATTATTTTAAATTCCCGAATTCTGATACGTTACAATTCTGTTGTGTTGGGAATGAACATGAGGAAGATGCATATACTTTCAACATTATGAAAAATATAAAGCAAATCGAACGTCTTTTTTGTGTGCAGATCATGAAATGTACTGAGCTCCACGGGTATTTGTTGTCCTAAGCGCATTAATATTGATGCCCAAATTCTTACTTGGCTAGTGAAACCTTTAGAAAACATTTGTATCTAGATGAAAGTTAACTCGGCAACATGCGCCATCCCATTGTTTAAATTTTATTAGGTGATTACACCTCCTATACCCGATTTCGCAGATTCAACGATACCCTAATATCGGGTATTATACACGATTTCACCAATAATACCCAATTTCGAGTATTCTCTCCGACCTGTTTAAGAAGAGAGATAACTCTTATTTATAATTATACATGTACAACATCTGTACAATTGATAAATATGTGGGATCGGTAAACAATAAATTCTAACGATGACATCAAAGTTGTCTGTTGACATATTTTGAAAGTATGGAATCAGAGCAGAGTAGGAGAACACAAGAGGTCTGATAACTATTTTCTACACTATCTCATTGATAATTTAGATTCTTCAGGATAATAAAAATTGGACTGTTTATAAGGCAGACGTCACCAATTCAATATCAGGCATGAGTAGGCACCCGAGGGTGACAACCCTACTCAGACTTGATAATTGTTGATGTCTCCTTTCTAAACAGTCCATAACTGTATAAAAAAAAGTATACAGACTAAATAGAGGTAGAGCTATGGAAGACCTATAGATAATTATGTACATGTATTTAGACTTCATCATTTATATCATTACAGATTTCCTACATATTTAGCTACCCAAATGCATATTTTTACAGATAAACTGAGAAAAAATGCAAGTACAGCCTTGTCTTATTTATAACATGTAGAATGGTGCAGGAATGACCATGTTGCTCATTCTATCTCGAATTTCCTCTGTTGTTTACCGTTACAAAGTACGAGATCTATCACTCGCACATGATTGATAATTACCAGATCGCCTTCATCTGTGTTCTGTAATGGTTCTCCTCGGTTTTTAGCCATTCTGTTTCCCGAGGGTCCGGCTCTGGTCGCTTTGAGAGAACGAACTCTTTACTTTTGGCACGTGGGACCCATCTCGGTTTTCTCCACCTAACGAAGTCAGTCACGGGTAGCGCTTGTCTTGTCGACTCAAGGCCGTGAACGCAGGCCCCGGATTTCAGTAATGTGTTTATCAATGACATAATTTACATTAAGACATTAATACAAACACAAGTTTTCAGCAAGTGTTGGTTCTCGTAACACTGTCATGGCCTAGGACAACCATACTGGATTATAAGACAGTTCGTCCCATTGCTAATTCGAACCCTACACTGTAAATGTTTTCATCCCCTAGATTTAACGGTGCATGTTTTAAGGTCATAAACCATGAAAGGACTCAAGTCAAAAATCAAATCTTGTTGTCTTCTCTTTTCTTTTCTTTTTTTTTTTTAAATAAAGCTTTTCACAAATTAATATAGGCTTGAACATTTTACCACCAAGAAATGAAAATTTAGCATTTCAGAATTTGAGATAATATTTTCTAAATTATTGGTCATTGAATCAGGGCTTTAAAAAGTAAAAAAGAAAAACAACAAACAAAATTAAATAAATAACAATTAAAAAAAGACACTTCTGGATTGCTAAGGCGGTCCATCCCACCTAATTAACATACTGTAATGTTTTTGTTTTACATGAAAATATGTTATTGTTATAAATAAAACAGAGATAAGAATTTTGTTTATCTGATAAGCCCTAATCATGGTACCTGATTTGTGCCCTAATCTTGGAGCCTAATTAGTGTCCTAATTATGGCGCTTATCAGATGCCCTAAATGTATCAAGTGTCTTGACACCTAACGATGGTGCAGAGGCCCTAATACTTGGAGCCGATTCCCTAACAGGTGCCCTAACGATGGAGCCTAACGCCCTAACTAGGTGCCCTAAATCACGTTAGGTGTCAGACAGGGTATATAAGGAGAGAGAGTTAGTGAGTTGATATACTTTGCTTGTACTGGATTGTAAACTACGTTTGGATATTATCAATACACTTGTTGAAACAAACTTTGTCGTTGTTCTGATGTTAGATCTATAAAGATCTAAAGTTCCTATCTTCTACACGGGATCCACAATATTTTGTACCACGGGTAACAACAAACACCCCATAGAGAAAAACGTTACAATTGGTGGCAGCGGTGGGATCCAAAGAAATTATTTTACGTGTAACACAGGAACTAGACAGCACAGAGTTTGAAATGGAGACACCCATCGTAAGGAAGAGAGTTATGCCTAGAAAGGTAGGACAGTACTTCGAAAGTCCAGCTCATCTGAATGACTCAGGAATAGAGGTCGATACGGGGTGTAGAACAAGTTTGCAGCCCACAAGTCGAGTAATGCCAGACAGTCCTAACTTTCAGGAGTTCGGGCAAAACTCGCAGGGTCTTTCTATTCAAAGCAAGTACGATCCAAGGCCAAGCTTAAAGAGAATCCTATGTATTTGGATACTCTTTGGTTTGATAGGATGTTTCCTGATGGTGATGACCTGGATCTATTTTCCAGAAAACAAGATCGTGCAGGAATCTCAAGAAAATGCAGTAATTTCTATAATATCGATAACAAGTATGATATTCCTTCTTACGGTAATCAGAGTGTTATGGAAGTATGGATCTGGTCTGCTGAATGCCAGTAAGGAAAGGGAAATTTCTTTGATATCCAGTGATACACCCTATACTGGTGGTAGTGCACCTAACGCCCCTACAGGTACCTGTCAGGAACCTAAAGTTTCTGGGCAATCTGGACGCACTACTCCTTATTTGGGTAATCAGTCTCCTCAGGGACTTGGGTACAATTTTGAATTTCCTACTACTGACGGGACACCTACAAACAGTCTTACGACACCAAATGCTGGTCAACGAACCAATGAATATCCAGTAAGGAGGACCTTCTCAGGGGCCAATAATGATGTTTGGGATGAGTTTCTACAATATTTCGAAAACATCTCAGAATTAAACTCATGGGGACCCGAGAAATCTCGCAGAGTTCTACTTAGCACCTTGCGAGGACAGGCCGAGAGCTATGCCTATGGAATGCCCCTTACTGTACAGAGTGATTATGAGCAACTAAAGGATAAAATGAATCAAAGATTTGGACATTCTGCAATGAAAGAAAAATATATTGCGGATGTAAAATTAAGGAGACGACTACCGGGTGAGTCCCTGCGAGATTTAGGACAGGCCATCGAAGATTTGTACCGAAGGGCCTATCCAGGAAATCCAGATTTAGTTGAAGAAAATGCTATACAGTCCTTCTTAGATAAGTGTGGACAATCTGGGGATTTTCGACTTGCAGTGAAACGGACCAGACCCAGGACACTTCAAGAAGCAGTTCTTAATGCGATGCAAGAAGAGTGCTTGCGGATTGGAGAAAAAGAATTGCCAAAGGAGACAAAACCAGGCTATAGGCCTGTGTATGAGATTGAAGATGGGGAATGGAATAATGAAATAGCAGCTGCGGATACTGCCAAACCTCCAAGCGCGGGTGACGGATTCAACAGTATCTTTAAAAATGTGAGAACCCCAAGTACATGTACCAATGCAGGACCAGGGAGGAGGGGACGCCCTTACAACCCATGGTACCAGAGAGAAGGAGGAAGATTTCAACCAAGTGACAGTTCTCGAGACCTGAATTGTGTTGAAAAGAGAACTGTAAGGAATTATATTAACTCAGATGACTGATGCCGCAGGTCAGGTATCAGTCAACGTTATACGGCCTAAAACCTAGGGAAGAAAAGCCTAAATCAAGAAAAGGGGAAGAGAAAATGTTGAGAATAAGGCCGGGGAAATCCAAAGACTAATGTGAAGCTACCAGTGTGATGAACTTTTGATTTAATCCAGTGACATTTTTATTTGATATAATTTTGTTGTTTTATTTTTTTGTCTTTATTGATTTTCTTTGGCTTTTGTGTATAAGGCATTTTTTTTTTATTTGTGTAATGTGATTTTACGTATAATTCATTTTCATGTTTTAATTGTTGATGACAGTGGAAGTCATGTCTCAAAAGGAGGGACCAATGTAATGTTTTTGTTTTACATGAAAATATGTTATTGTTATAAATAAAACAGAGATAAGAATTTTGTTTATCTGATAAGCCCTAATCATGGTACCTGATTTGTGCCCTAATCTTGGAGCCTAATTAGTGTCCTAATTATGGCGCTTATCAGATGCCCTAAATGTATCAAGTGTCTTGACACCTAACAATGGTGCAGAGGCCCTAATACTTGGAGCCGATTGCCCTAACAGGGTGCCCTAACGATGGAGCCTAACGCCCTAACAGGTGCCCTAAATCACGTTAGGTGTCAGACAGGGTATATAAGGAGAGAGAGTTAGTGAGTTGATATACTTTGCTTGTACTGGATTGTAAACTACGTTTGGATATTATTAATACACTTGTTGAAACAAACTTTGTCGTTGTTCTGATGTTAGATCTATAAAGATCTAAAGTTCCTATCTTCTACACGGGATCCACAATATTTTGTACCACGGGTAACAACAAACACCCCATAGAGAAAAACGTTACAATTGGTGGCAGCGGTGGGATCCAAAGAAATTATTTTACGTGTAACACAGGAACTAGACAGCACAGAGTTTGAAATGGAGACACCCATCGTAAGGAAGAGAGTTATGCCTAGAAAGGTAGGACAGTACTTCGAAAGTCCAGCTCATCTGAATGACTCAGGAATAGAGGTCGATACGGGGTGTAGAACAAGTTTGCAGCCCACAAGTCGAGTAATGCCAGACAGTCCTAACTTTCAGGAGTTCGGGCAAAACTCGCAGGGTCTTTCTATTCAAAGCAAGTACGATCCAAGGCCAAGCTTAAAGAGAATCCTATGTATTTGGATACTCTTTGGTTTGATAGGATGTTTCCTGATGGTGATGACCTGGATCTATTTTCCAGAAAACAAGATCGTGCAGGAATCTCAAGAAAATGCAGTAATTTCTATAATATCGATAACAAGTATGATATTCCTTCTTACGGTAATCAGAGTGTTATGGAAGTATGGATCTGGTCTGCTGAATGCCAGTAAGGAAAGGGAAATTTCTTTGATATCCAGTGATACACCCTATACTGGTGGTAGTGCACCTAACGCCCCTACAGGTACCTGTCAGGAACCTAAAGTTTCTGGGCAATCTGGACGCACTACTCCTTATTTGGGTAATCAGTCTCCTCAGGGACTTGGGTACAATTTTGAATTTCCTACTACTGACGGGACACCTACAAACAGTCTTACGACACCAAATGCTGGTCAACGAACCAATGAATATCCAGTAAGGAGGACCTTCTCAGGGGCCAATAATGATGTTTGGGATGAGTTTCTACAATATTTCGAAAACATCTCAGAATTAAACTCATGGGGACCCAGAAATCTCGCAGAGTTCTACTTAGCACCTTGCGAGGACAGGCCGAGAGCTATGCCTATGGAATGCCCCTTACTGTACAGAGTGATTATGAGCAACTAAAGGATAAAATGAATCAAAGATTTGGACATTCTGCAATGAAAGAAAAATATATTGCGGATGTAAAATTAAGGAGACGACTACCGGGTGAGTCCCTGCGAGATTTAGGACAGGCCATCGAAGATTTGTACCGAAGGGCCTATCCAGGAAATCCAGATTTAGTTGAAGAAAATGCTATACAGTCCTTCTTAGATAAGTGTGGACAATCTGGGGATTTTCGACTTGCAGTGAAACGGACCAGACCCAGGACACTTCAAGAAGCAGTTCTTAATGCGATGCAAGAAGAGTGCTTGCGGATTGGAGAAAAAGAATTGCCAAAGGAGACAAAACCAGCTATAGGCCTGTGTATGAGATTGAAGATGGGGAATGGAATAATGAAATAGCAGCTGCGGATACTGCCAAACCTCCAAGCGCGGGTGACGGATTCAACAGTATCTTTAAAAATGTGAGAACCCCAAGTACATGTACCAATGCAGGACCAGGGAGGAGGGGACGCCCTTACAACCCATGGTACCAGAGAGAAGGAGGAAGATTTCAACCAAGTGACAGTTCTCGAGACCTGAATTGTGTTGAAAAGAGAACTGTAAGGAATTATATTAACTCAGATGACTGATGCCGCAGGTCAGGTATCAGTCAACGTTATACGGCCTAAAACCTAGGGAAGAAAAGCCTAAATCAAGAAAAGGGGAAGAGAAAATGTTGAGAATAAGGCCGGGGAAATCCAAAGACTAATGTGAAGCTACCAGTGTGATGAACTTTTGATTTAATCCAGTGACATTTTTATTTGATATAATTTTGTTGTTTTATTTTTTTGTCTTTATTGATTTTCTTTGGCTTTTGTGTATAAGGCATTTTTTTTTTATTTGTGTAATGTGATTTTACGTATAATTCATTTTCATGTTTTAATTGTTGATGACAGTGGAAGTCATGTCTCAAAAGGAGGGACCAATGTAATGTTTTTGTTTTACATGAAAATATGTTATTGTTATAAATAAAACAGAGATAAGAATTTTGTTTATCTGATAAGCCCTAATCATGGTACCTGATTTGTGCCCTAATCTTGGAGCCTAATTAGTGTCCTAATTATGGCGCTTATCAGATGCCCTAAATGTATCAAGTGTCTTGACACCTAACAATGGTGCAGAGGCCCTAATACTTGGAGCCGATTGCCCTAACAGGGTGCCCTAATGATGGAGCCTAACGCCCTAACAGGTGCCCTAACGATGGAGCCTAACGCCCTAACTAGGTGCCCTAAATCACGTTAGGTGTCAGACAGGGTATATAAGGAAAGAGAGTTAGTGAGTTGATATACATTGCTTGTACTGGATTGTAAACTACGTTTGGATATTATTAATACACTTGTTGAAACAAACTTTGTCGTTGTTCTGATGTTAGATCTATAAAGATCTAGAGTTCCTATCTTCTACACGGGACCCACAATATTTTGTGACGCGGGTTACAAACAAAAACCCCATAGAGAGAAAAACGTTACAATACAATTGTACTTTTACTTTTAATGGCGTAGGTCACAATAGGTGGTCATTTCCGAGGAAGTAAGTCACACCTACATGTACTTGTCTGATCTACCACATACATATATACATGTATACGTTCATTATAGAAATGGATTTCGTATACCTCCACATCAAGGGGCGCAGTACCTTTCTAGTATATATTTTAATCACCGGAAAGTCCACATAGCAATGCATTATGTCATAATTATACATACTTATTTTTGTTATTGACTAGTAAAAGTCACAGTGATTTTTTAAAAATTATCTTCCTGTTTGATTTTCCATACATTGTCTGATCCCTTTGAAATAAGAGTTTATTTCCGAGAGGGCTAGTTGTCTGTAGTATTTACACCAGTATTCGTGTAACACATATGGTCATACTCACCACAAATCGTCCAGAGGGCACCTATAACAAGCCAGCAGCCATGAGTCCATCTACATGTAGCCTCTTCCTTGTTTGTCTGCTCGTTAGTGTTCACAGAAATCTGGTCCAGGGTAATTATGTTTGTTTGTTTTAAAATAATGTAAAAGTCAGGACTTGATGACGATGGTTCAATAATTTAAATCATTCGCTTTAAAAATTGAACGGCAATGATAACTTTGTACATGTATACAATTAAAACTGAAAATAACTACCGGGGTATCCTGTTTTTTTTAATCATTCGATCAATTCTTTAATATTTTTTTTAATAAAATCAAAATTAAAGTTTTTAATGAAATCAAAAATTTATTTTTGTTAGACTGTGAGTTTTATTCATGCTGTATTTTGATTTACTATTGTCTGTATGTTTTATATGAAGGTCTAATTTGATTGGTGGTTGTTGGTCATATGTCTATGTAGTTTTATTGGTTGTGTTATGTATATTGGTTGCTGAATGCATGTTTTATCTAAAGGGAAAATTTGATTGGTTGACTTATGCATGTCTGTAATTTGACTGGGTGTTGTAAGTATGTCTGTACTTTGATTGGTTGTTGATTGGTAGCAGCTTGAACTCTTTAATTTGATTGGTTGTTTTTAGTAGGTCTTTACTTTGATTGGTTGCTGTTTGTATGTCTATACTTTGATTGGTTGGGAACCATGCGTCTGTACTTTGATTGGTTGTTGTTCGTAGTCTGTAATTTGGTTGGCTGATATCTGTACGTCTGTAATTGACAGGTTGCTAGATCTGTACGTTTCTACTTTGATTGGTTGTTGCATGTCTGCACTTTGATTGGTTGTTGTTCGTACGCCTGTAATTTCAAATTACTGGCGTACGAACAACAATTACTAATTTTATTGGTTGCTATCTGTACGTCTGTCATTGATAGGTTGCTAGATCTGTACGTTTCTACTTTGATTGGTTGTTGTATGTCTGTACTTTGATTGGTTGTTGTTCGTACGCCTGTAATTTGATTGGTTGCTATCTGTACGTCTTTACTCTGATTGGTTGTTTTCAGGCTGTGACTCAGACAGCCAGTGCCCGTACGGATACCACTGCTGCACGGGAACCGACTGGTGTTGTTCGTCTGGGTACATATGTACCGGAACTGCCACCTGCTTATCCGTTGGGTTCGTATTTCATAATTTATTCCCCCTAATATTCAAGTCAGTAAAGGCACGAAAGAAAACGTAGAAAAGTCGATATCATTTATATTTTAGTATGAATGTCAGAGTTTTTACAGGCAATACAGTTTATAATTTTGATTTTTACATAAATAAATAGTTTTTTGTCCAGTTTAATAGTCAAATTTTTATGAAAAACATGGTACATTTATTATGGTATACTTTGTATGCCCTTCGATGAACATCTATATCAACTCGCATACATGTACAAGAACCAGCTTTGACATTAAAGTCCAATATTTGTTTACTCTTTTGTAAATATATATAATGTAGGCCTATCTACATAATTTTTGTAAGAGAGAGAAGAGGGTGATCTCGGTAAGAAATAGCAGGATATTAGTCACGTTAGTGGCTATCAGGAAGAAGGGAAGTTAAAAGTTTACTTTGTTTACAGATTAATTCATTTCTTTTTCATGTCTCAGCTTTCACACCGTGTATATCCCAATATCCCATATCTGTAACTAAGGAGTATATAGATACCTATGAATCCACTGTTTTATACTTCATTAAGTTCATGGAAATAAGTTTTTGGTTCGGCATTAGTATTAAGGTCTTTTATCAACACTATCTGTCGCTAATAAACCTGTGTGAATAATATTTCCATTGATACTGACAATCTTAAGAAAAATATGGGGTATACACCCCGCGTACAACATGTTGCATACACCCCGGACACAACATTGATTTTTCGTCAATATCTTTATATATGAACTGTTTTATTTAAAGACAGTTTGTACAAACGTTTATATTGTAAACATGTATTTAACAATAATATAAAAGTGATGATAAAGCAAAGCTTTGTTCTGATATTTGATCTTGTGACATGACCCGGCGAGTTTTCCTTTGAAGTCAAGCATACTGTAACTGCGATACAGAACACTTTTTGTGGGCGTTTCTTATGCAAATGAGCAGAAACTGTACTGTATCTGCAAAATATCAACGATACAGTACGGTTTATCTTTAGCGATCACGGAAAGCTGTATCTGTATACAGACACAACAACCGTTCAATTTGCATGATAGAACTGTTAGTATTTACTCTAAATTTGAGATGAATTAAGAGTAAAATTTTACAGCGTGAATTTATTAGTGTCGGATTCGAAAATTTTAGAAAGGAGGGAGTAAGGCAGTTCACAAATGATTACTTTGAACCCCCCCCCAAAAAAAAATCAAAATCAGTGGAAAATCGTATTTCGAGAGGTTAGATTTATAACCAACCAAGACACTGTGCGTGATATCGTACCCTAGTATATATAAATTAAAAAGCGTATAATGTACACATGTTTATCAAAAATCATTTACGAAAGTGAAAAAAGAAAAAAAAATCAAAGGAGGGTGGGATGGGAGGCACCAGTGAGTGCTGGGATCCTCTCTGGTTACACTACATTTTATTAAGAACATGAAGGTAAAATACCCCCTTTCCTTTTATCTGTTTATTTCATTTTTATTTATGACGACCGGTTCGGACATTTCTCCCAGATTACGTTTTCCCCGAAGCATTTTTGTTTCAAAAATATTTCCACATGATTCTTACGTATCAAAATGTATTGCCTTGAATCGTAGCTTAAAGTTAAAAAAAAATGTCAGCAAGAGCTGAATAGAGAAAAAATCCTACGCAATGAAATCTAAATTTATTTTTTTGGAATTTTTTTTTTATAATGAATCTCCTAAATAATTATTTCAAAATGATAAATACCTGCACGTCCACCTCACTCGGCATTTCAGTTGCAAATGCTTGAAATGTGATACTAAATCAACTTTCTGCAAAATCATCTGATTGGTTGAGTGGTATGTACCCAAATACGCATGTAAATATGTGAGGTCATTAGAAAGGTCATGTAGTCATTTAAAATACATGTATTTAACAATAACATAAAAGTGCTCGAGCTATCGCTCTCGCAAGCCCCGCTTTGTTCTGATATTTAAATATAACATAAACACAGTGTAGCGTCAATCTTGCTCCGATCCTCGGAATTGTGTTGAGGTGTTTGATAAATTAGAAGGTGTCCAGTGGTTTCATAGGTATCCATATACTCCTTAGTTAATGCTTTCTTCCGTAGGCACATGCTTTCTGGCGAAAAATATCCGTAAGTTGAGAGTACGGGCAAAGAACGTACCTCGACCCCCCCCCTTTTCTCTCGCTTCGGAAGCATACTCCCCGCGCACAACACAGAATACACCCCGCATGTTGGGATATACACAGTGTTTCATAGATCCTCAGGTCAAACAACTAACACTTATGTGTGACCTATTTCCATCACCATCAACATATACTTGGAATTTAATTTGTTACATATAAACAAGGGTTAAATTGGACTCGTGCAATAAAGTCATGGTTTAACCATGTTAATATGAAATATGAAAGCAGGTGATTTGTGTTTAATTTTATACCTCTATTATGATTCAATGTTCCCATTATTCGTCTCACAGAAGGCAACATTTGTAGGCAAGAAGCAACTGAAGGGGGCGGGGGTAAGGAAAATGCTACTTCAGCATATTAGAGGTTCATTATACGCGATATCTTCATAATCATTGGACCTATACTCGATGTTATAACTTATAATCATCATTTTTCTCTTTGTTCAGAATAATTGTCGGACATACTAGTATATCGACTTTGTTATCATCTTTCTCTTTATACAGGACAAATATCGTCTTTGTTATAATCATCACCTTTTCTTTATACAGAATAATCGTCGGACCTATTGTCTTTGTTATAATCATCATCTTTTTCTTTATTCAGAATAATCGTCGGACATATATCGTCTTTGTTATAATCATCATCTTTTTCTTTATACAGAATAATCGTCGTACATATACCCCAATCGTCTTTGTTATAATCATCATCTTTTTCTTTATACAGAATAATCGTCGGACCTATCGTCGCTGTTGTAATTATCATCGCTCTTGTCGTTCTGTGGTGTTACAGACGACGTAAGTATTTCTCAGTTATTGTAATAACATTGTACGAGATGCTGACCATTTACATTTATGTCCTGGTTCAATCCATGATTATGCAGGACCCCCTGGGTAGACTCTACAGAACAAATCAGTGATGCACGTGATGACGCACGTGTTGCTGCCTTTCTTTGAGAAATTTGCAGCCAAATGACCCAAATCTTTTTTTTTTTTTTACTATTAAGCATCAGCATAAAACGAAGATATGACAACTTTTTCAAGAAACCAATCTAAAAAAAAAAACCTCTGTAAATGTCCTTCTGACTGTACAACAGAACTTATTAAATTGTTAGAGATCAATCTAAAAAGAAAAAAACTCAGTGATTTTCAATCTCTGTTCTTATGACTACTCTTCTGACCACTTTTTCCAAGCAATAGTAAGCATTACAGAAAAACATATTGACAATGAAGTAACAATAAGCTGGGCTCAATTTTTGTATAACACACCTGTTTTTTTATTTTCAGGCAGAGCAACCTACAATCAGATTTGATGACATCATACGTTTAGTAGAGACATCAGGTTTGATGACATCATAAGTTTAGTAGTGACATCATCTCACTCAGATCTAATGCCTCATTTGATGCTGGGTAATAACAAGTTTGGTGGTGACATTGCCACACTTAGATCTAATGCCTGGACTTTATCCTACTTCATTAAGCACACACCAATCTCTATGATGCTGATATCTGCATTACAAATTTGATGCCAAATAAAATGTTTATCATGTCGTTTTACTTTGTTGTGTGTTTATGTATAACAGGAGAACTCAACTCATCCTAACCCCAACCAGAGGCTATACCGGTATAATGACCTTCCACAATATAGTAAATACTGAACAGATGTCTGCTCTCTTTTAACTGATCACACAAATTGAAACTTCTTTTACCACAGTGAACTGTTTTTGAGTCAAAAGCTAAACTGTTTCATTGCAAAAATATAAAAATTCTGAGCAAATTTTAATGGTCAGAATTTATTTTTCATTCCAAAGTAAAACTGAAATACTACAAGTGTTTAATCCTACTTCTGATGTGTAATCAGCTGCTGCCAAACACTTTATTCACAAAAGAATCATACTGCTGTCTGGTGAAATATGGCAGCGAGGCCCCTAACAAAGCCTGCCCGGCCAAACTACCACAAAATAAGATCACAAGCCTCTTGTTTCCCAGTAAAGTCCTAGGGAACCAGCTAATATTACCTTTCTGGGCGTACGCGTTAAACTCGGAGGTGAACACCTTATAACTGACCATGAGGCAGGGATAGATGACTCCGAAGAACGTCTGTATTCCAACACTGCTTGCCGTTTGTGTGAGCAGTCTAGAGCCAGACCCCGTCAGAATCTGGTCCCTAACTGCGATGTTCTGTAGTATAAAAGTAGGGATACATGAAGTAAATAAACTGAGAAACAGAAATCCCGGAGGAATCTTCCTGTTGGAGGTGATCGCCTGAAAAATTCCGCTGGCGAGATAGGAAGACGTGATAGCAGAGGCGCCATTAGCGATGTGTGGCTCATGACGCAACAGGAAACTGTAAAAGAAATTAAAAATCCTGTAATGTTGAAGTCTGTAAAATAAATAAAAATCATGTACCATTAAATTTTACTTTATTTATTCAGATCAAACATATGTATTCAAAGATTACAATTCATTGAATGTTTTCTGTAAGTAAAGAAAATGACCCAAATGAATGTTTAGGTAGAGTGCATCTCTATAGTTACAGTGGAAGTTTGGCTTGGTAAGGATTTACAAATATATAGTTTTAGTTACGTGAAAATGTACCTGCTTGCTTCAAAGGCGTTCAATAGCTATTCATCGTTTTTTTTTTCTTATTTAGGCCTAAAAAAAAATTATGCTTGTTTCCCGTAACATTCCCAAAATATCAATGGTATGTGGGCCAGGATTTTTTTGCTTACAAATAACTGGGGCCAAACATCCCTGGACTGAATATACCAGGTACATGTATTATATTCACAGTGGACATCCAACATGTCTGCCTAGCAGCAGAAAACAACCTTCAAAAAGTTGTAGGTGAAATTCTTGTTACAATAATGATTACTCTATATTTTAAATGCAAATGTTGATTAGGTCGACATATTTTATGTCTCAAAAGCTACAATTAATATTGAAAAAAATAATTGGAATAAGCTGATTGATTAAACTCAGATTAAAGTCACAACATGCTGACTGCTGAGAATCCATTTGTTCTGTAGCCTAGCACAGACTAATATCATACCACCTCATTCCATCTCGCACAAAGTCCTGTATCTGGAATAAGCCGATACTTCCCTCACCCCCCCCCCCCCCCCCCCCCCCCCCCCCGCCCTCAATATTTAAACACATGCAATGTGCTGAATACTTAGAACTCACATGCCTGGCACAATGTGCTGACTGCTGAGCATTCATTTGTTCCCTGATCTAGGACGGCTGATATCATACCACTTCTTTCCAACCTTCACACAGGAATACATATATAGTGTCCTGTAACTGGGATAAGCCAATACTTCCCTCTTGCCCCCCTTCCCCCCCCCCCCAAATATTAAAACACATGTAATGTGCTGTATGCGTAACTTACACATCTCGTAAGTTGGGATAGGCTGATATCTCCCTCTGAATGATCTTTTTAATTTGATCTGGTCTCATAACAACTGCTCCCTCTGGGAGCCTTGTGCCCGCCTTCCAGCGATGAATTCCCCCTCGGCGTACCCCTGAGGTTGGGACATCAGATGTCACGTCCTCTTTGAATTTCTCCTCCTCATTCATGATTCCCTCTGACAAACTGTTATGTCACTGTAATGTATTAAACAGTTAAAATTCTATAGACAGTTGAGTAAATACTGTGAATATTACTATTGTTTGCAGCTAACTGTAAAGTTTCACGTTTCGTCACTATCTTTTTCATCAGATGCATCCAGCGTAAACAATTCACGTGATTGGTCAACTCAAATTATCAACATTGATACGGAAATAGTCTGTTGCACGAGCAACCAATCAGGGATAAGAAGAAAGTTCCAGTCGTAAAGCTTGCGGTTAGGAGGCGTGTACAATTTACCTTGAGTGCAGCTATCAACTAGATCATGGCGTAACGTGAAACTTTACAGTCAGTTGCAAACAATAGTATGAAAAATTGTGGCTGTCACTGTAATGTTTTCAACAGCATAAATTGAAAATAAAATTCTATCATGTCTATCTCTATAAGCAGTAAATACAATGTTATAAAAACAGTGAAGCTCTTATTATTCATTGATCACATCTCTAATTTAGTTACAAGGGTATATTTTACTATCTTTACATTATTTTATCATGTTTATGAGATAGATGGATTATATTAGAATTGTTGTTAAAAGATTTGAAGTTAAATATTGAGGTTTAAACATTCCATGTGTAATGACTGGAGATGCAGGGATCCCGGTCCAGCCATACATTTTCTCCTTTTCTGTTACACATGTTTCTCAAATAATGTTTCAAAGGAATATAAGTAAACTTATATGTCTAACAATGAATGACTATCTACAAATATACATCACCTAGACGAGACAATAACACAGGATATTCGTTAAGGTGCTCTGTCGTGTTGAAATCAGAGAAAATTCGAGTTCTGCATATTTACACGTGAATTTTACAATTTTTGAAAGGGATAAACATTATCAACACAGATAGGTCTCGCTATCTTGTACGAACAGTGTCTTTTTTATCATATATCATGCATTAGTAGCATATCCTTTTCAGTGATTATGGTAAAATAACAAAAAATTGGTTTCATGCGGACGTCCTAAACAATACGACTTGATGAAGCCCGATCCCGATCTTTTTGTCAACCAGCAAGACCAAAGACGACTCACTCTAGAAGTTCATAAGAAATTAATTCTGAATTATAACTTAAAAAATGGATGTATAATTTGAGGGAAAAATCATATAAAACGTGATAAAATTAAACAAAAATTAGAGTATAATATAATAAATTAATTAAGGTCAAGATCTAGTAAATGAAAGGTGCCTACAGATTTATCAAACTTGAGAAATAAATTCCTTTATTAATGCTTTACAACTTTAGCTTGGTCAAATAAGGTGTTTCGGGGCAAAATTTGTAGGTAAACAAGATGAAAAACTGTATTATAAACTGTCATTTTCGATGAAAAATTAAGAAAACGAGTAATGAATATGGGAGTTTTTTTCGTATTCGGCACAGGAAATGTATCCAGATTGCCTACAGTCGTTCAGAAAACGGTAATTAGTATGTTCATGGCCTCTTCTTTAAATCAATATTAAATTTAATATAGGTATCCGGTTTACTTTTCATATGATTTCAAATTGAATGACATGAAAATACCCTATTTTCTATACATAATTCTGCTAAAGCTGTAAAGTACGGGAAAAAGAAAAATGAAATTGATTATGACGTCATAATGGATCTAGCACCAAAAAATTAGTCTCAAGTTATTTACTAGATGACCTTAAGTAAAGGAGAAACATACATGCCAACTTTTGAAAATTCCCATGGGGGATTTTGCGCGTGACGACATTTTTCATAGCTTTAAATTCGCGACATTTTGTCGTGAAATTAAATGATTATGACATGATCTTTTTTTAAAAAAATTATAATACAATTAATATCACTTATTAATACTACTAAAGGATAAAAATAACACACAAATAAGGTTTTTCTTTCCAAAATGGAAATATTTTTGCTCAAATAGGTGCCTCTCTCACTAAAGAAGGGATAATTAGTTACATATGTAAACTTAATTTTTTTTACCAGCTAGGACACATAATTTGGAGAAAAATTGAAAATTGTACAACTTTTGATACTGTAAAGTACTGTTTCTGGGAACATTTATGAGATTTTTATATTTTAATTAATTAGAAATTCTAATCAGATATTAAATTGAAAGAAATTTTGAGAAATTGCTATGCATTTATTTTTTATTCAAAGAAATAAATCATCAGTTTTGAAGAATTAAATCATCAATTTTCTAACATAAAGATACCACCTATCCCAAAGAAATTTATTTTTTACAGCTTGAACTTTGGCAGGCTTGATGGTGCTATGTGGGTATTTCTTAGTCATGCACATATGCATAAAATATTATAATTACTTTTGGGAGAAGGGAGGGAAAAGAAATTCTAATTGACATAGACTTTATTGTTTCATCAGGATTTTTTTCATATTAATTTAATTGGCAAACTTTACAATATATTTTCATTATAGGTAGATAAAGTCAGCAGCTATGCTTTGTATTTTTCTACTTTCGTTTTCAAATAACGATCTCCTTGGATTCCGATTTTATGGTTTGGTTATTATTTAGTTGTCTTTAATTTATGTTTTCAATAAAATGACAAACAGTTATCCCCTTAATCTATGTGTTTCACCTTGCGTACCCCTTAAAACTGAAAAGATAATCCCCTAATTAATTGCCCCATGCTATAATTAAGCTACCTGCTGCATTTCATTTCCGGAAATTTGGGTAATTATCAACTTTTCATTTCCGACATTTTTTAGTTTTCATTTCCGACATTCTTTAGATTTCATTTCCGACATTTTTCAAATTTATATGTAGTACTTATAGTAATGTTTGATAACTTTACATATGAATAATTTAAAGGAATAAATCATTAATAAATAATTGAAATCCAATTTTGTAAATCTATCAGTGACTTGAACATAAGTTCGGTGCTGTCACTGACATTTAATTAAGTGCACATTAAATGTGGGGGAAAAGTTTTATGCATTACCG